TAGCCTTCTACCGTCATTATCACATACTTTAAACCACCCCAAATCATTTCCCTGTATGAAATAAGGTACTGATTGGGGTCATCTCCATGACACATTTAAAGTCTTGCAATATGAACAGATTGCAGTTTGATTTTTCAGTTATATTTTTAATTGTATAATGCAACCAACTGCATAATAAAAACCTGTGCTGAATATTTTTTTTATTGGGTTCTTGGGGTGCAGCACTGGAAAAGACACCTTATTATTATTTGTGTGTGTTACATGTGTTCTTAATTTAAACAGCATCTTTTTAATTGTTTCTCTAAGGAAATAATAAAATACTATGCTGGACATGCAAATACTGAGGAAAAATGGAAGAAACCACCACTGCTTGAGAGACTGAAGGTATAGGATAATAAATATTCTTGAGCACTCTAGCAGTAAAAGAAACAGGCACTGACATACAGCATAAGAATGTTTGGTGTATCCTGTTGGAGAAGTTACTCTGTATGGAAGGAAACAGTGTGAGGAACAGTGAAAGGAAAGGAAGAAGGAAGTGTGCAAAAGGAGGTGAGAGATACGAATGGGGAGAAAAGCAAAAGTGAGTTCTGTGAGGGGTATGTCTGAACTTTAAGTCAAAAACTACCTATTGAAAATAGCTATTGAAACAAGGCATTGGATACATTGGACAGTATGTTAGGCAGGAAGGAAGAAAATGGGCATCAAGCCAGAATTTAATTTTTTTTTTTTTTTTTTTTTTTTAAAGCTTTATTGCTAATGTTTTTCTCTGATTCTTTTAACAGGAAATGGCCAAAGTAGAAGGTCTGTGGAACCTTTTTCTCCCAGATGTCAGTGGTCTCAGCCAGCTTGACTACGCGCTAATAGCTGAGGAGATGGGGAAATGCTTCTTTGCTCCTGAGGTTTTCAACTGTCATGCACCAGGTTAGCAACCCTGTCCCATAACTACAACACTGAGACCATTAAAAAGTTGGGCATCTTAAGCCTTACAAGTTGTGTGTCTCGAGAAGTAAACATGACTACTGATTTCTTACAGACACTGGAAACATGGAGGTCCTGCATATGTATGGGACTGAAGCGCAAAAGAAAGAGTGGCTGGAGCCTCTCCTAGAAGGGAAGATTAGTTCTTGCTTCTGCATGACAGGTAAATTTTTCTCCACAAGAGAGTTAGAGGCAGTTGGCAGAAATTTCACATGGCATATGCAAAAAGTACAAAACTACAAATTGTTATGTGTTAATGAACTAATGAAGAAATTTCCACTGTATCTGTGAATGTGTTTGAATATGAAATGATCTATGAGGTGTGAATACAAAGTGAAGCACCCTTGCTGCCCTTCCCCAATAATTACTGTTTCTCATGTTTACAATAATTAGTATTTGCTTTCCATATATTTTTCAGTTTACTTTTAGTACTAGTAAAATACATTTTATTGTACCAAACAGGTTTACAATAAAACTTATCCTTTTTGTAATGTGCTTTGGGTTCTCTAGGAACATACAATTAGATACAAGTATGATGATTGTGATGAAAGTTGTGTAGTTTTGCAGTATGTTGTAGGCAGAGGTTTTAAGACATAACCTGAAGATAACTTGCAAAACACATGATGCACTTGCTTTATGTCTGTAGCTCAGCATTATATTAATTTTTGCTCTTGCAAAATGCTTGTGGCATTCAGCATCTCTGGAAGGCCTGGCTCTTGAAATAGGCAGGTAGCTTTTGAACATGTGATGTTAAAATCTTGATCTTCCTGTGTCAGCAGGAGTTGAGGGAACTCAGCCTTGCAGAGCTGGACCTTTATTTTGCAAATTCTGTTCTACTGTGTTCCTCAAGTGGAAAATGGTGCTTTTGTTTTAGAGAAGGTGGCCTATAAAAGAAGTTAAGGGTGAAAGGAGAGAGGAGGAATCTTCCTGTTCCAAACAATCATTGAGGACATTTTGCTGGCAACTTCGTGTAACCTATTTCATAAACCATCACAAAAGTAGTTTAAATATCTTTATTTTCACTTGAGAAGAGCCTAGGGAAAAAAAAGGCAGAGGACAGATACGACTGTAATCTATAAGTACATTGGAAGGGGGAAGGATTTAGAAACATCAGGGAGGGAAGAAGGCTATTGACTGTAAAGGGTAGTCTGAGCCCAAGAACAAGGAACTTTAAACTGGCTATGGATAACAGGTTGTTGGAAAAGAGAAAAGCCTGTGACCACCAGCAGAGTGAGGTTCTGAAAACCGCTTTTCTTCTGGGAGCGAAACAGTGGTACTGTCAATAGAGTATATCCAGATCCCTGTATTTGTGGAGGTAGTACTACCTGTATATTTAATGCAGTGGTTGGTTTTTGTTTTTTTCTTTAACACAGAACCTGATGTGGCTTCAAGTGATGCCACCAATATGCAATGCAGCATTGAGCGAGACGGAAACAGTTATGTGATCAATGGCAAGAAGTGGTGGAGCAGTGGTAAGTATGGAAACCCTAAATAAGAATGGCTAAGTCTAAAATTCTTTCCAAGAACTGATAAAAATATTTGTGCTCCATTTCTGAGATGGAAAATTGTCTCTTCTTGAGTAAAGGCAATAGAATGTAAAGCAATGGAAAGAGCTGAATCGAGCTTTTGTTCTATGAAGCAAAGTCCAAGACTCAAATCCAGTTTGGGGTTTTGGGCCCTTTTTGGAACCTCTGAATTTAGTTCACAGAATGAATGCTACTGTTGTTCTTTAAATGTTACCTCTTCCCATCAGGTAACTTACACATTTATGGCCGTAGCCTTTAAACTTTGTTTTTATGAAGCTGTCTTTGGCAGCTTGTGTGTGAGGTTTGAGTGTACTGTGTAGTTACAGTAAAATTTGGCTGCTTTTTAAACTAGCCTGTAATGCTGTTGGACTGACTGTTACAAGTGATTTTCTTATACTATACTTCCCAGAAAAATCAATGGACTGCACTGTAATAAGTGGTAAATGTTCCTGATATTGTAGTACTGTTACTTTTTTACCAAAACATATGTGACAGCTACGTGAAAGTCATCATTGCTTGGGAGCTTGGAAGCCAGCTAAATAAACTGAGTTGCTAACTGGAGTGAAACTTGAGCGTGTTTTAGCTACCTTTGGCAGCTACCTACTGATACATGGTGGTGCAGTACCTAGCCTCACCAGAAGATAGGTCTCTCTGTCTTTTCTAGTACTGCAGAACTGGCAGCAAAAGGAGGCATGGAATCTTGCCTCTTGACCTGAGAGTGTCACTTAACTGCTGGCTGCTATGTTTGCTCTGGGTCAGTGTCTCCCAACTGTGCATTGGATTTCCTAAGGAAGTAATGGGAAGGTTTGTAGGAGGTCACACGCGCAATGTATTATTTGTAAAATTAGTCACATGAATTATAAAAAGGAGAGTAAACATAAGTAAGTGATCATGATTTGGTTTGTCTTGTTTCTAATAAAAATAATTAGGACAGTCAGATTTGCCGAAGGATAGATGCATAAAAGGTGCTGCAGTTTCAAGGAGTTTGAGAAGCACATACATGCAGCTCTGTCTTAGTAAGAGTCTCCTTTTCTGCCTGGTTGCTTTTTTGGTTTGGGGGGGGGTGTGTGTGTGTGTGTATGTTAGCTTTTTACTCTGAGTGGGACATTAGGACCTTGAATATTTGGGAATTCCAGAAGCCTGACAGCCTGGTCATAATGTCACTCTGGGTGCAACCACTCTGTATTTGTGAAGACAAGTCATAAAGCACACATGCAAGGAGTCAGTTGCTTTGTGGAAGAATTGGAGTTGCTTACCATGCTTTGCATGGGTGCTTTGCACATCTACAGTAAATCCAGTATGGCTTAAATATGTCAGATTTATGGTGTATGTGTAGAAGCACTGTCAAGCACTTCTGACTTACCCATTCACGCCCTTGTATTTCTCAAAATACTGGGCACAAATTCTGTAAGCTTTTGTCATCCAAACAGAAGAGGCTTATGTCTTGGTTATGCTACTGTTGTTTCTTGTCTGTCATTTTAGAACTTCTTCTTCCAGTTCATAATTGTGTAACTAGGAACAGTATCTAAAGATGAGAGATTCTTGTTGGCTTCATAAGCCGTAGATCAGGCATTTTGTCAGAGCCCATGGGAAGTATGAAGGCAGGGACAGTATGCTATAATACCACTTTTTTAACTCTGAAAGCTAATACGTCAGTATATTTTAAGTGCTTCCAGAGAGTCATGGAAAACTGCTGTTTTCCTGGAATCCTTGCCAGCACTGTGGCAGGGGACATCTTTGGTACGTCTCCATGGAAAAAACGTAAATCCCACCGACCATGAGCTCCATTTGGAATGAGAACCTCTCTCATTCAGCAGGCAAGGCTTCTAGCATTTGCTGGTTGATAAATGCCTATGATGAGGGATGTCAATACCTACTAAAACAGAACAAACATAAGGATATGAATAAGTGACAGCCAGTGCACTTTTTGTATTCTTTGATTTTATTGTATCCATATATTTTAGCAGATACAGTGATTGCAGTGTTTGATTCATTTTACAAATTCTGACTAGAAATTCCAGGCCCTGTATCTGAGGATTAACTTTTTCTTACATTTCTGCTAATGCTTTGACTGCACTACTTAAGCATTTACATTTGACTTTATGTTTACAGAGATCTAGAATGTGCCTCCCATAGGGCACTAGGCTTGTTGAGGTTTAGGGTGAGCAGAAAAGGAGAGGTGAAAGGTTATTTTTAGTAGTTAGAGAGGAGTTACTGTTTTTTGTGGAGGATTGTTGTTGTTGCTATACATATGTGGAAACGCATAATGGCTCCCCCACCAAGTTCTTAGCCATGAACTGATACCACATTTCAAGCTGCAAGTGTATTTACAGAATGATAGCTAAAGAAAAAAATGGAACTGATTTATAGGCAAATATTCTAAAGTTTTACAAAATAGGTGGAGAAACACAAGGTTATTAACATTTGGCAGAAAAGTTCCTATACTGCCGTTTTATTGCTGCTGGGTTTTTTTCTGTTTTAATTATATGTTTAGACATGTGCAGATTGTTCATTACACAGCTATTTACGTGCCTAGTGCTGTGACCCTTTCAAATTTAAATCTTGGGAAGTTTTAGGTGTTTGGGTTTTGTTGTTGTTTTGGGAGGTTTGGGTTTGGGTTTTTTTTCCCCGTAAGTATCTCTAGTTGTTTCTAGAAATTTCAGTATTTAGTTCTTGCCTGATGCTTGATTTTGATCAACATGTTCACTTTGAACTGCACTGTAGTGTCTTGGCTAGTCTGCAGGTTCAGAAATTAATCTGAAAGTTGACTTGCAGACAAACAGCTGCTGAAACAATACCCTCAGAATTAGTAAATAATTCCCTTGGTTATATAAGATAATGGAAGTAATGGAGAGTCTATATAGTGAAACTAATTGTTTCTTCAGTATGGTCTTCATAATTCATAGAAATTTCTTCAGGTCTTCCATTCTCTTGTTGCCTTCTCCAGTATCCATAATTTTTTGCGATTTTCATAATATGCATTTTAAAAGAGGCACCCAGAAAGGTGTAGAGAAGAGGGTTCAGGCAGGTGTGAAAAAAAGCTATGCTCTTGGTGACCTGGAGTGTGATGTCTATGGTTTTACTCACATCACAGTCAGTAATCAGCATGTAGATGATATCAATGGCTCGCCAGAACTTAACAATGTTGTACGGTACCTGGGTAATAATGAAAGTAGCCACTACTGCCAGGAGAACCATGAAAGGTCTAGTTTTTTTAGCATTTGCAGATCTAAAGATTGCTCGAGCAGTAGCTGAATAGCAGATCAGCATTACTAGGAAAGGAAGCAGAAATTCCAGGATAATTTCCAGGATTTGAATGGTTGCTTTTAAGAGCGTTTCCATGTTCATTGGAAATACAGGAAGGCATTCATTCCTGTCATTGTGTTTCTTGACTTGATTAAATATCAGTTCAGGGATACTGAGGAAAATGGCAGATAGCCAGACACAGAGGCAGGTAACACTGCAGTGTTTACCGGTTCTTCTATAACCCTGGGATTCAGAAGTAGCCCTGTATCTATCCACACTGATAGAGGCCAGGAACAGCATGCTAGAGCTGAAATTCATGGTGTACAGAGAAGAAGTGAGCTTGCACATGGCGTTTCCAAGTTCCCATCCCTGCACTGCATTTGCAGCCCAAAAAGGGAGTGTAAAGAGCAAGAGCAAATCAGCAACGGCTAGATGCATGATGTACACATCCGTCTTAGTCTTCGGTTTCTTGCAATAGGCATAAATTGCGACCACTAATGAATTGCCAGCGACTCCAACAGTGAAAGCCAATGCATAGAACACAGGGAGAAATAATTTACTGAAATTTCTCACATCATTTTTTTCACAGAGAAGCTCATATGTATTGTAATCTATAACAGAGTTGAGCTCATCCTCCTCATCCTCAATCCAGTAATCAGTTGAGTTATTCATATCCCAGCCGATGGCAAAGCTACAAGACACAAAAAAAGGGGGGAGAAGGGAACACCAAAGAAAGATACTGGGTTTAAGTTTTAAAATTTATGTTGAAACCTAAACCCCTTGCTCAGGGTTGCTTACACATCTCAAGTTTAAAGAAGTTGGATGTAACAATACATAAGTAAATAATCAAATTAGAGCTAGACAGTGATGGAGGCAGAACAGACTGTCTCAAATTCTCACATGAAATGGGGTAACTGACTACATCCGTGTGTGCAATGCAAAGTGAAATGGATTCAGTTGAAATGCTTTCATTAACCTTAGTGTTTGAGATGGCAAGATGCTTGGGGGTGTGTTGTGGTTTACCCCCAGCCAGCAACTAAGCACCACCCAGCTGCTCACTCACTCCCCCCCACCCAGTGGGATGGGGGAGAAAAGCGGGAAAAGAAGTAAAACTCGTGGGTTGAGGTAAGAACGGTTTAATAGAACAAAAAAGAAGAAACTAATAATGATAACACTAATAAAATGACAACAGCAATAATGAAAGGATTGGAAAGTACAAATGATGCGCAGTGCAATTGCTCACCACCTGCCGACTGACACCCAGCTAGTCCCTGAGCGGAGATTCCCTGCTCCCCCTTCCCAGTTCCTAAACTAGATGTGACGTCACACGGTATGGAATACCCCCTTGGCCAGTTTGGGTCAGCTGTCCTGGCTGTGTCCTGTGCCAACTTCTTGTGCCCCTCCAGCTCTCTCACTGGCTGGGCATGAGAAGCTGAAAAATCCTTGACATTAGTCTTAACACTACTTAGCAACAACTGAAAACATCAGTGTGTTATCAACATTCTTCTCATACTGAACTCAAAACGTAGCACTGTACCAGCTACTAGGAAGACAGTTAACTCTATCCCAGCTGAAACCAGGACAGCATGCAGCTCACAGGTTTCCACATTTCAGCTGAGGAGCCATCATTGCTTAAGCTGCTCTGACTCAGTTATGTTTGACTGTATTCCATTAAAAAATAAATTTATACCTTTATAGGGTTGAAATTACACCTTCCTCTCTACAGCCTCTGCAAAGCAAAGGAGTACAGCTGAAGGCTGTAAATGCTATTACAATAGGGTGGATGAGGAATACTAAAAAGTTAAAGCTGAGAGGCAAGCAGTAGTGTTCTGTGCCTACTGTCATAAATTTTGGCAAATTTGGGTTATGAGTATCATAGGGAGAATGTGCTTGCTTGTTTCTCAGGCACACATATACATGCCCATTACATAAAGCACAGCAGTGGAGTCAGTTGCTGAACAGTGGTGGAACAGGTTTAGTTTAGTCTCCATCCCACAGAGTGAGCTGCCTTATGCTGGTGTGGAATTTCTTACAGAACCAAATTGCTGTGCGTACGCTGCATCTTACAGCTGGAGACTTCTCAGGATATTATGCACAGAAGGGAATCTTATCACATACAAAACTGCTCACAAGTACCCAAACAGCTCAGAAGCTCTGCTGTTTTTTCAAGTACTATCTCATGAGACATTGACTCCGTAAACACTAAGGCTGTATTCTCACTGCCAGTTTAGGGCTGAAGTTCGAGTGTTCCTATCTTCAGACTGTGTCTTAAGCAAGTCGTGTCATACGGTATTTTCTTTTCCTGTAATTGTGTTCATTACTAATTTGCTGAAATTCTTTCTGTTGTAAACTACAGTCCTGCAGTACCCTGTTTTCTTGAAATAAATGGGATTAAGATTTCTTAACACCAGTAGCAAAAAGTAGCCAAGAATGAAAAACACATCCCCCTTTCTCATCATTTGCAGTGCTTCAGAATTAAAGGCCAATGTTACTGAATACAGATTCTTATCTGGTATTCTGCCCCAGAGCTACAATTTGGCTTTTTCAAGCTTGAAAAAACTCCCAGATACCATTTCTGTTTTTTAGACAAAGATTTAAATGAAGCGTTGCTCAACTTATTATTAACACTATCTCTGAAATATTTTTTTATTCTGTCTACCATGTCTACCAGGAAAAATAAGTTACCGATTGATGTCATATTCAGGGATGCAAACCAATTAAATAGAGAGAAATTAATAATTTCTATTTTTGTTTGATTTGTTTTTTTCCAGTGAATCTGCTATCTAAATTTTTTTTAAAAGTGTGTTCGCTAGAAATTAACTATTTGGTTTGGCTTCATCCTTATTGACTTTGTTGGATTATTTTGTTAACTTTTCAAAACGTTTCCTGTTAAGCTTTAAACAATGATTACTCTTAAGTCTGTCATTTACTGTTGCCTAAATAAGGTGTGCAGAATGGAAAAATAAGTAACTCTATTTATTACTTCAGTAAGGGACGTCTGTTCTATGCCTCACAAGTTGTGTTAGCAGGATTTTTCAGCGGGGCAATCTTTTGCAGCTTTATACTACTTTGAGGAGAAATTCAGACATCGGCAGCAAATGAATTTTTTTTTTTAGTAGAAGAGAAACTGCTGCAGGGAGAGTTTAATGCACTTAGCCAAGATTAGAAGAAAATGAAATTTTAAACTGTAAAGATTTGTTGTGGTCTAAAACATTTATTACAAAACCCATCTGGGAACACTTAATCAAATCGGATCACTGGCAAGTTTGCTTGAAAGCAAACACTACACATTTCAGTGCAACCTTTAAGAAGTCTGTATATCACAGAGCAGTTTGGCTGTGACAAGGAACATGCTCCACTGCCTGATATGCTTTTGGCTGACCTGAGTTCATGACAGAAACAAAGTTATCTGAAATGCAACAGTTGGTATTTCTCCCTCAAAAACACAGTTATGTTTTGGCTAAGGTAGCTATTCATACTTGTCATTCCGGTTAATGTTGTTGCTCAGGCGCATGTATACATGCCCATTACATAAAGCAGAGCCGTCCCATGGGAGTCAGTAGCTGAACAGTGGTGGAACAGGCTTAGTTTAGTCTCCATCCTACACAGTGATCCGCCTTATGCACATGTGGAATTTCTTGCAGAATCAAATTGCAGTGGGTACACTGCATTTTACAGCTGGAGACTTCTCAGAATGTTATGCACAGAAAGGAATCTTTTCATATACAAAACTGCCCACAAGTACCCAAACAGTTCAAAACCTCAGCTGTTTTTTCAAGTACTGTTTCTAAGAGGTATATTAATAGATATATTAATAGACAGCTTTGCATGTTTTCTTGCAGAATTATCCCAGCCTTCCATTTAGATACAAATTCAGTGTTTCTGTGTGTTTAAACTTGACAGGGGATTGTATGAGTACATGTTGAGTGAAGTTAATATCCCCAGTTTAAACAGACAGACTTTTTCTTTAACAAATTAAGCAGTATTCTGTTCTTCTACTGAACAAATCTAATTTTAAGACTGGAAATGAGCATGTCCCTTAGTGAAATGATGTCTCTCCATAAAGCCAACTTATCTAAGAGTAAATCCTAGCTCTTCTCTACGTAAATAAGTATATCACGCTTAATATACAGAGCAGTAAATATTAAAACAAAACTAACCTTCTTTTGTCAGCGCACTAATAGCAGGTACTGCAATTGAGATGTGCTTCAGTGAAATGATCTGAAATGGTCTGACACATTGCATTTTGTATTCAAGCACCACACCCTCATCTGGAAGTCAGTTGCACTTTCAGTTTGACTTGCCAGTTTAAAAAAAAAAAAAATTTTTAAAAAAATCTTGCTTTCCTGGAAACTCTTCTCATGTTGAACGTGTGCATTTCCTACATTCCTCCCTGTTCCAACCAGAATGTGAGTGTTCTTTGGAAGGTCAAGACTCTCTTATTATTTCACTGTGTTGTTGGGTTTTTTTTATTCCTGAAAGTCCGAATGTTTTTTTTACATCAGCAAAAGGCTTTTATCAAATCACACATTTAAAAGGTGAAAAGGAGAGAAAGAGGGGGAGGTCTGTCTGGGGCAGAGTTACCTGTAGGGAGTCCCTATATTCTTTCCTCAGGGCACTACTGTGCTTCTGATGGCTGTGTATGTAAGGTTTTAAGGGATCCTTATATCCCCTTTTTAAGTAACTTTTTAGGGGATACAATAGAAAGATGAGTTTGCTTTTTGTGAGATGGGGGAGGTTGCTCTTTCAGTATGTGATATTGAACAAAACCAGGAAGATGATAGGGAAAAGATGTGAAAGCAAGTGGTAAATTGTCAACCAGAGTATAAGCAGATGGTCCTGCACCCTGGGGGAGAGTTCTCAGGGACTTTAATGTTACTGGTCAGACACAAAATCAAGTCAGTGTTTGATAACATTTCTACAGAAAGTGCGAGCAAGGCAAATACCGTAAAAGAAAAATAGAAAGATGCTTTTCCATCCATGAGGTTTCTTCCACTTGCAGTGTGCTCTCTGCATTATAATGAGTCAATAGTTTTACAGGAAAGAGAAGGTGGAGAAGTTCTGCAGTTTACATGCAGACATTAATATTTCTGCATTGAGGCATGGACTTACCTGTTCTAAGAATTCCTAAAATTACTGGATCTTGCTTGAATTTCCACAATCTCTACAGCTTCAAATTGGTCTCTTGTGCAAGAGTACCTTGTGCAGAGTGTCAGGAGCCTTCCATGGTCTTCCAGAGCTTTTATTTTGTTTGAATTATCATGTATCCTGTAGCAGTCTAATGAGTTTCAGTAAATGCTATATTGATGCCAAGCAACAGAGAGAGATTTTGAGCAGACCAGAGGTCAGGTTTTGTGTTTTGGCACACTGGCTAAATTGACACACCTGCCATGGATGAATTAGCCATCTGTCTGTGCTTCAACTGTTTTGGAATATGTGAAAGGAAAGGTTTTTCAAAACAGGCAGTGAAGAATGTAATGGGCAGATGTTTTCCACACGCTTCTCGCTTCATCTGCATTCACGAGGAAGAAAAATGGGTTGGGAGAGGAGTTGGAGTCTAGAGGAAGAGTGCTGCAATATTTGTGCATATTTCTGCAACGTTTTAATCTTGAGTTATCACAGCACTTCACTGGTGTTCTTCACAGTGGCAGGTAAGACATTTGGGTTGCTTCCAGCATGTCTGCTTCTTGCAAGTCATGTTGTTGCTTAGAGGCCTGAGCTATATCTCTTTAAAATAAGTGAATCTCTCAGTTCTGAATGGCCCTGGTCTCAGTATGTTCCCCAACAAGATAGATAGAATAATTGGGGTATAACTGAGAAGGCTTCCAGGGAAATATCACTGTGCGATGCCTGCAGAAAAGATGGTTGTGTTACCAGTGCGTAAGAGGTCCTGTGGGCAGGCTATAGGAAGGCAGTTCATGTAAATCCTGTGCTGTTTATTACAGTGCTTCAGCTCCTCTTAACTTTGCAGGTGCAGGGAGGACATAACCTTCCAATCAGAGTACAGAAGTAATACTGTCATGTAATACCAGATTTCAGTATGGCCCTATAGACTCAAAAATAACAAAAATTATTTAATAAGTAAGAGTGAATGCAAAATGACAATGGACCTTGTTTAACTAACAAGTGCTTGTGGCTGTGTAAAAGTGGGATGAAGGTGAGGAAAAAAATGTTCCTAAATGTTGTTGAGAGCAGCTTCTCTCACTGGCGCCATGTGAGACTGCGAGCTCTAGCTGGGAATGACTAGCAGCCACATTCAGTGGCAGCACTGTGTAGCCCTTGCTGATGAGCTGCAGAACCCCAGCATTGTCTGTCTTTACTGGTTGTAGCCAGTTTGCTCGCAGCTCCATTATAATCTCTACCAGATGCCCAGCAGTGTTATCTGGAGAAGATGAGATAAAAGTACAGAACACATTGTGCTGTTGGATAGAAATTACAGCAGACTCTTCGGGGGTCTCCTTTTCTCCCTTAGAAGATCACCATACTACAACAACCAATACTACACTGCCATCCACCCTACTCGGTCTAGTTTCTTCTTGTAGGAGAGTCCAGAACATGTGTTTATCAGTGCTTTTCTAGGAAGCTGCCAAGTCTGTAATGTCACCATGAGCCCTGATCTTTAGCAGAGAGAGGTAACCCACCAGGCAGGAGCCAACATGGCAAGAGTCATAGGTATTCTGGGCATTCAAGTAGTAGATTATCCTGCCTTTGTTGTCTCAGCCAAAAATTTGAAGATTGGACACTGAAAAATAGATAACTAGATTGCAAGAATTAAATGCTGTTCGCTTCTGAAACCAGGTTATATGGTAGCTGCTTGAAAGGTTGTACTGCCCATGTCTGTGCCACATTTAGTACTCTCCACCAGAAAGAACCTGTGTAAGTTTGTTGTGTGAAGGTCAGAAATCTTAAGCATGTTACACCCCCTCATAGTAAAGATTAGGCTTCTAACAGGATTGTGATCAACCATCTAAGCACATTTTAAAACATTGTCTTTGCCTATGTGAGTGCCATGAAGAGTTAAAAAATATAATACATTAGTTAAACTTACAATGTTTCCCAGTGTAGCAGCATTGTGGTTTAAAAGTTTTGGACAGGTTGTGCAGACACGAAAAAGGTTATTAAAAAGCTTATCAATACGGAAATAGGCTTTAAACTGACCTTCTAAAATCTCTCCTATTTCTGTTTGTTCAATTGTGAATTTCTTGCAAAATTACTTCTAACTCCTGTCAAAATGACGGTCTTCTCTGACTCTTCCATCCAGGCAGTCTGCATTTCTTCCAAAGCATTGGAGTCTTTCAGTCTTGCGCTACAGCAGAACTTCTTTCTGGCATTTATGGGTCAAACTTGCATAAAATTTATTTTGGGTTTTCAGAATGTCAGAATCTAAGGAGTGGAAAGGCCAGGAATCCGCCTTTCTTTGTTGCATTCAGATGGGAAAAAGCACTTATCAAACAGAGGTATTCAGTTGCCTTCCAGAAACTTGTACTAATGATTTAGAGCATCTAACCAGATGTCTAGCTCTCAGTGAACTCCTCACTAAGTTCAACATGAAAGCTGCTTCTGATTTTTTTTCATACAACATGGTGAAATTTGCCTTTTTTTTGAAGCAGGGATGTGACTTGAGGATTGTTTACAAAACAGTTTTTGAACAGATTCCAGAAAGTCAAAATATCTTCTGTTGTAAACCTCACTTAAAGATAAATGCGGTTTAGAAAATACCACTGGTTCAGTTCTTTGCCCTCTGTGGAAAAAGAGAAAAGTCAAAATCCCCTTAAGAATGTATCATTTCTCTTTGCAGGGTAGTACATTGCAAAGTATATGTTGTGTTATTTTGGGGTTGGTCACCTGCTTGTTGCAGTTGCCCAAATGAGCCAACTGTTTGATATCTACTGTTTTTTTTACCAAGCTGATTTATTCCCCCCAGCTTTTCACTCAGATATTTTAGCTCGTTAGCACTGTATAGCTCATGGGTCACAAATATTAACTCCACTTTGCAAACAATGGATGAATAACGTATTGCAAAAGAAGAAAGTAAACAGCCAGCAGTCTGGCCCTCAAAACAGGCTGCATTTATCAGAATGAAATAAATCTCTCTCCCACTTCCTGGCCATCATAGTGGCTGTTCTTAGGAGGAAGGAGCTGAGCTCAAAGCCAGGTGGTTGTATTGTCTAGACCTGAGGTGCCCAAACCTTGTGATAACAGCTGCCAGAGAAGTTAAAAAGTCATCTTTGTTTCTGACCTCAAAACAAACGGAGCTGGTGCAGATCAAATCTTGAATTAAATCTCTGTGAAGCTTGTCATCTGCATTGAGATAGCAATAAAGAATTAACTGATTGTTACATAAGTCAGGTGTAATCCTGCCCCCTTTTCCCTAGCTTTATTGGCTGTGTGAGACTTTGAAAGGAAGGAGAGCATGCTTTGGTACTAAGAAACCTTTAAAGAAAAAGATAGTGAGGATTAAGGCTCTTAGAAATAAGATGCCATTTTAACTAATGATAGAATCTTCTGTAGGACTTGTGCATTAAAAGGCTAGCTTTATGCTACAAAGACAAGTCTCAAATAATGTTATCAATGGCTTGAAATGCTAGCAGATTGTCTTCAGGTAAGGATTTCCGCTGAGATCTTTCTTTGAAGTGCAAACTAAAATCATTTGCATGAAGGGGGAAAAAAACCTTCATTCCAGAGAAGTTAGAATAAAGTAGTAGCAAAGTCATCATGGTAACCCTTTGATAGCCTTATTTGCGTAATTTGGTTACAATGTGGTCGGCATTTCATTCCCACATAGATTTTCCAGTCTTTATAGTTTTAAGTTTTGCTTTTGAAATGTCAGTGTCTTACCTTGAGGTGTGCTTTTGTATCACACTGATGTGTTTAGCTGTAACAGAGACAGAAGTAATTAGATTCCATTTCAAGTACCTTCCTGTTCTCTTTTCATAGGAATCGATGATGGAGCTGGATTCTGGAGGGTTTGGATGTTTGGCTTTTCATTGTTCCCCTCCCCACAAGTCAACTCCTTTTCACATGTTAAGCAATAAGTTGTATTTTGTTTCAGTCTGATTACTCAGAGTATAAACACAGAAGTAGATTGCGTGCTTTTGCTCCTGTACCACAAAAAGAAGAGAGTAAGATTTATTCATATGAAACTTCATTTGATTCCACATTGAGATTTTTATATTGAAAACTATTTTTGTGTTTGTGACTCTTTTAAGGTGCTGGGAACCCGAACTGCAAAGTTGCAATTGTAATGGGCAA